GAAATTAATATGATACTTACAGAATTAGCGAACTTTTGTGCTCTGAAAAAGAAAGCTAATTCCCTACCAATGTAAATATCATCATCTCTGACCGACGTGTAGGGGTGCGAGGTGTCAACTGGTGACGAGAACTGCTGCTGAGGTCCCAATTCAGCAACTAAAGTTCGTGCTAGAGGAACTATGGCCCTCTTTATCCTCCTACTGTCAGATTGCAGAAGATTAGGTGCACTTGACCCGGGGACAGACCACAGTACCAGGGTACCAATATGATGATCTGTCGAAAATATGAGAAATATCCTAGGGACAAAAGATGGTAAACACGAGTAATAACACGGAGGGAGAGATGACCAATTAAGAGAATGACTGAGGCCTACAGTCACCACGTAATCCAAAGTTGTCTCACCTTCACCATATGCTACTCTCGGAATGCACAATACACACAGCACCATATAAAAATAAAATTGAATATGAAAAATAGTAAAAAGCTACGTTACCAAAGCCAAATACGCTTACCATAAATTTACTACTTGGCACCAGTACCTGAGTGAAGCTCCTAGGGCAGGCCCCCACTTTAATGTGACGGTAAAGCGTTGGTGTTCGGCTGTTTCAAAAGCTAGGGGCAGGGCCTCGTCACATTATAGAAAAAAAAGAGAAAAGCTGGAGCTTTCGTCTGTGGTAAGGTAATGGGAAGACACACAAAACACAAGTAAATTAACAATGAAATTTTAATTACTCTAGAAAAACAAGACATGAATAAAGTTAAGCACATAAAATATAAAAGACAAGTCAACAAACAAAATAATATGAATAATCACTGGCAAATGAAAAGTTACGTTAAGACAAGTGAGTTACAGTGATAGCAAAATAAAGTATTAGTGATGGTGCTGGAATACTGGCTTCGAGCTGCCACCTCCCTTAGTACACGAAAGCCAAGGCTTAGTCTACCAGCGAGAGATGTCAACTGCAAGGAGCACTGAGATATTCTGACGATACTGGAGCACTGCAGCCCAGACGTCGACTTGTGGTGGAGGGCGGAGGGCAGGTGCGACGGGACACCAGCCAATCAGCGACAGGCAGGCAAAGGACGAGCAGTTTGCTGGTTACGGTGGCGGGTAGCAGGTGTCACGGTGTGCTGGGTACGATTTGCTCTCTGGGCAAAACGTTTGGCGATACTTGGTGGACGTATCTTCTATATTATCTTGTATATTGACGTACTTTGTAGGGAAGAGCAGGCTCAATCTCTCTTGAAAGAGATTATCGTCACAATATATATATATATATATATATATATATATATATATATATATATATATATATATATATATATATATATATATATATATATATATATATATTTTGGTAGCAGTCTTTCCTGTAGACATATATTATTAAATATGACCGAAAAAGTAAGATTAATAATTCTAACACGAATTTTCTCAATCTTTCGTACATTTCTTTTCACTGTTGGAGGTAAATCAAAAATCAATTCTCCAAAATTCATTTTTATTTCTAGTCTGACGCGACACGAGCGCGTTTCGTAAAACTTATTACATTTTCAAAGACTTTAGTTCACAAATACACAACTGAATAGAACTTACGCATCTCCGATTTTATATCTACATTTGAGTGAGGTGGAAGGGGTGATGTGGCATTAACACAAGACAGAACAAGATGTGGCATTAATAGGGTATTAATTTCATCAACACAAGACAGAACAAGAGGTGGCATTAATAGGGTATTAATTTCATCAACACAAGACAGAACACGAAACAATGGGTATTGAATAGAAGTGATTGTAGAAAGCCTATTGGTCCATATTTCTTGATGCTTCTATATTGGAGCGGAGTCTTGAGGTGGGTAGAATATAGTTGTGCATTAATTGGCTGTTGATTGCTGGTGTTGACTTCTTGATGTGTAGAGCCTCGCAAACGTCAAGCCGCCTGCTATCGCTGTATCTATCGATGATTTCTGTGTTGTTTACTAGGATTTCTCTGGCGATGGTTTGGTTGTGGGAAGAGATTATATGTTCCTTAATGGAGCCCTGTTGCTTATGCATCGTTAAACGCCTAGAAAGAGATGTTGTTGTCTTGCCTATATACTGGGTTTTTTGGAGCTTACAGTCCCCAAGAGGGCATTTGAAGGCATAGACGACGTTAGTCTCTTTTAAAGCGTTCTGTTTTGTGTCTGGAGAGTTTCTCATGAGTAGGCTGGCCGTTTTTCTGGTTTTATAGTAAATCGTCAGTTGTATCCTCTGATTTTTGTCTGTAGGGATAACGTTTCTATTAACAATATCTTTCAGGACCCTTTCCTCCGTTTTATGAGCTGTGGAAAAGAATTTCCTGTAAAATAGTCTAATAGGGGGTATAGGTGTTGTGTTAGTTGTCTCTTCAGAGGTTGCATGGCTTTTCACTTTCCTTCTTATGATGTCTTCGACGAAACCATTGGAGAAGCCGTTATTGACTAGGACCTGCCTTACCCTACAGAGTTCTTCGTCGACTTGCTTCCATTCTGAGCTGTGGCTGAGAGCACGGTCGACATATGCGTTAACAACACTCCTCTTGTACCTGTCTGGGCAGTCGCTGTTGGCATTTAGGCACATTCCTATGTTTGTTTCCTTAGTGTAGACTGCAGTGTGGAAACCTCCGCCCTTTTCCATGACTGTTACATCTAGAAAGGGCAGCTTCCCATCCTTTTCCATCTCGTAAGTGAAACGCAGCACGGAACTCTGCTCAAATGCCTCCTTCAGCTCCTGCAGATGTCTGACATCAGGTACCTGTGTAAAAATGTCGTCAACATACCTGCAGTATATGGCCGGTTTCAAGTTCATGTCGACTAAGACTTTTTGCTCGATGGTACCCATGTAGAAGTTTGCAAACAGGACACCTAGGGGAGAACCCATGGCGACCCCATCTACTTGCTTATACATGTGCCCATGCGGGCTCAAGAAGGGTGCCTCTTTAGTACAAGCTTGGAGTAGTTTCCTCAGAATATTTTCTGGTATGTCAAGAGGAGTACAGGCTGGATCACGATACACTCTGTCGGCTATCATTCCGATTGTCTCGTCCACAGGTACGTTGGTAAACAGCGATTCTACGTCCAACGATGCTCTTATCCCTGTGGCCCGTGTGCCCCGCAGTAAGTCAACAAATTCCTTTGGAGACTTCAGGCAGAAGGCGCAAGGAACATTAGGAGTCAGCAGGCCGTTGAGTCGCTTCGCCAGTCTGTACGTGGGTGTGGGTATCTGGCTAATGATTGGCCGAAGTGGGTTTCCAGGCTTGTGTGTCTTGACATTTCCATACGCATATCCAGGTTTATATTCCCCAATGATCTTTGGCAGGTGGAGTCCGGATTTCTTGGCGTTCACAGTTTCGATCAGTTTGTTGACCTTTGCTTTTAATTCGGCTGTAGTGTCCTTCGTTACCCTTTGGAACTTAGTTTGGTCAGAGAGTATGATGTTCATTTTCGCCAGATATTCGTCTTTTTTAAGAATGACATATATTGGCGACTTGTCACCTCTCCTGACAACTATCTCCTTGTTCTCACGAAGGCTTTTAGCTGCCGCTTTAAGCTCGGGGGACAGTATGGTGCTTCTGTAATTGCCTCGATTCTTTCCTCCTTCTGCAATAAGTTCTGCTTGTAAGGTATCTTTGGTAGTGACCTTCTTTTGTGTCTCGAGGTCGAATATGTCGTCCAACAGAATTTCCAACTCTACTTTCCGGGCCACCTCCCTCGGTCTGGACATAACATGACAGTTTATGCCCAGATTTAGGAGAGTGACTTGGTCCTCAGTGAGGTTAATTCCTGCAAGGTTCAGGAAGCCATCTCTTGGTCGTGGAATTGCCATAGGTCCTCCATATAATGTTGTTAGTTTCTTGATAATCCTTGTTTCAGTGCTGAGGTGATGTTGGTCTGTGAGGATGTCGAGGTGTTGTTCAATGCGGGTACGGATACTATCGTCGATGTTGCTATTTCTCCACTCGTTTGTAGCATGAAGTAGTTGCGTTTTGTTGTCTTTGATTTCATTCTCTGCCTTGTATATCTGATCACGAATCAGATCCTGGCGATATTTTATCGTGAAGGCTTGATTCCTTGCTGCTGGGTCGTGCGCTTTAATATTAGTATATTTTGGTAGCAGTCTTTCCTGTAGACATATATTATATAAATATGTTGGAGGTAAATCAAAAATCAATTCTCCAAAATTCATTTTTATTTATAGTCTGACGCGACACGAGCGCGTTTCAAATGTAGATATAAAATCGGAGATGCGTAAGTTCTATTCAGTTGTGTATTTGTAAACTAAAGTCTTTGAAAATGTAATAAGTTTTACGAAACGCGCTCGTGTCGCGTCAGACTAGAAATAAAAATTAATTTTGGAGAATTGATTTTTGATTTACCTCCAACAGTGAAAAGAAATGTACGAAAGAAAAGGAAAGAATCGAGGCAATATATATATATATATATATATATATATATATATATATATATATATATATATATATATATATATATATATATACATATATATATATATATATATATATATATATATATATATATATATATATATATATATATATATATATATATATATATATATATATATATAGTAACAATTATGTAATTATTGTTATATTAGGTAAAATATTTTATTTATTCATGTTTATTTATTGAGACAAACCAACACACAAATTACTGCACATGAGCTTAACTAGGTCAGTTTTAACTGTCAGCTGCTCAGGCTACACTGGTTGAAGGCCCTTAAACATTCATAACTTGGCCGAGACTCCTAATAACACGGATTTGTGTCCTAGTTTGGTGAAGTTTGGCCAACAAAAACTTAGAGTCAATTGGTAGGATTACACAGAGGTCCAGGTTAACTGAGTCCGGATTAGCGAGCTCCTAAGTCTGGTGTTGTACTAGAATTTCACAATTAGGAATATTTATCTGCAGAACATTGTGAGGTTATTTCCTGGGTTCTGTTTGGACGATACGTTCCTCAGATGCATCTGTCCTCACGGCACCTGGGGTTCTCGCTGTAAAGTGATCGTTAGGCACTTCGAGGACGACGGTGGAGGGTCAGACTTGGGAAGTAGTGAAGATGAGGTCGTTACAGTGGGCGGGTGGGCGTGGGTGCCGCCAATCCCGCCTTGTGCTGAAGTCCACTTGAGTCTGGAGGTGCTGACCAGATCCTTGGCGGCCACGCTGCTGTACTCAGGACCGGACCAGGGGGCACCAACCCCAGGGACCGAAGAGAACACCGCTAGGGACCTGTTGCTGCTGGAGCTGCGTCAGGGCCGTCCGTCTCTCCTGCTGGACCTGGGAGGCGGCCCTGTTACCCTCGACCTCAACGCCTCCTACTCCCTGGCAGACAACACCTGGCACAGGATTGACCTTATATGGAAAGACGAGGTGAGGAGTGAGGATGTAGAGCAGAGACTTTGGACTATAGGTATTGGTTTTGAAATCCAAATGATTGTTGTGACTAATATCGTTGCGACTTCCATTGTAGTGGTAAATATTATCATTATTTCATATCATTCATTCATTATCATAACAAATCTCATGTTGTTAATCGCCTGACTAGTCTCGGCAGATCATGATTACTGCCTGTTATAGTCGATTAAACTATAATAAATGTCATTTAACACTTCACTGTGAACCATACCTAATTTTCTTTGACACTTGCTGTAGGTACTGTTATCACCATAGAAGATAAATCCCTTTTCAAAACTGTGGTTGAAATTCGGCCTTCGTCAGGCCCATGTAATATATTTAATCTACATTCAAAAGAAAGGGTCACCGAATTAATATATTTTTATATTTGATAAAAGGTCGTTTCTCGATACACAGTTTAACATTTACGAATGCATACTTCGATTACATTGCAGCTTGGACAGCCAATACATGGGCAATCCAGCATTTTTTGCAATGTATAATATTATGGCAGGTAATTGGATCAGGGCATCAACGTGCCGATGCAAATAATGTTAAAAATAGGTGATACCCAGATTCAAATGTGTGGGACAGTCCACTAATGAATAATGAAAAGTACTAGATATTTTTTGGAGATAGAGTGAGTTTTACTCTTCGTGGTTCAGGAGAGTATGATCGTTATATATTTTTTCAGGCTTCTATGATAGGTATTCAATGTTTAAACTGGTATGATATATATAATTCAGGGTAGTATGCAATATTAAAATTTTTCAGGTGAGAATGTCATCTCTCACAATACTTATAAGAGTATGAAAGTTAATTTTTGTTCAGCAGAGAGATAGTCATCTATTGTTCAACAAAGTACGATTATAATTCAGTGTTCGGGAGACAGCTGCTCGTCAGGTGATAATTACTAATAGTTCAAAAGTGTGTAAAATACTCACCCAACACCATTTACATCAAAACATTAATCGCCGGTTATTCTCCTTTCCCAATTTGTGCCCTCCCACCTCCTCATCCTCCCCATTCACGCTTCCTTCTCTTCTCTTAATTCTTTTTCTTCACCCACTCTTATCTTCCGATCCCTCATCCAATTTTCCTTCTCTCATTAACCTGTCTACTACTCTTCTTCCCTTACTCATCCCTTCTTCTCCTTCTCCATCCTCTTTCATTTCTCCATCTCCTTCCTCTCTCCTCGCTCGTTCTCTCCCACTCTCACTCTCAGTTGGTGGAAATGATTGTGGACTTGTGCACGGGCAACGGACCAGACGACGTACCACCGCCGCCACCCTCCACCCTCGCCCACAACCACTCCAAGACGAACACCCATCCCGACGCCCACACTTGTAGAGGGGCGGCCAGACTGCCTCGTACCGCCCGCGTCCTCAACACAAGTGGACCACTACAAGTGGGTGGACTGTCTCACCCTCTACCAGCAAACACTTTACAAGGAGGTTTCCCACCTTTCTATGGCTGTCTCCGGAACCTCAGAGTCAACGGCCAGGTGAGAGGCGCTGTAGTAGCAGTAATATATATATATATATATATATATATATATATATATATATATATATATATATATATATATATATATATATATATATGTGTGTGTGTGTGTGTGTATATCACGAAAATAAACACGTGATTAAAAATGTGACAATGTCAGACCAAGGAAGAAAAAAAACTCCTTCTGAAGATGTATTAATATACGAAAGTACTTAAGGAAATTCCTGTTTCATTTTTCCTCCATGGTCTGACATTGTCATATATATATATATATCTATATATATATATATATCTATATATATATATATATATATATATATATATATATATATATATATATATATATATATATATATATATATATATATAATATATATATATATATATATATATATATATATATATATATAACCTAACCTAACCTAACTTTTTCAGCTACCTAACCTAACCTAACCTATAAAGATTGGTTAGGTTAGGTTAGGTAGGGTTGGTTAGGTTCGGTCATATATCTACGTTAATTTTAACTCCAATAAAAAAAATTGACCTCATACATAATGAAATGAGTAGCTTTATCATTTCATAAGAAAAAAATTAGAGAAAATATATTAATTCAGGAAAACTTGGCTTATTAGGCAAGTCGGGCCTTGCATAGTAGGCCGAGTAGTGCATTCTTGCTACTAGGTACGACATATATATATATATATATATATATATATATATATATATATATATATATATATATATATATATATATATATATATATATATATATATATATATATATATATATATATATATATATATATATATATATATATATATATATATATATATATATAGATATATGCACTAACTTGCCTAAAACACACAAGTGAAGTTTTACAACACTTTCCCATTAGGAGACTTGAACCCTAGCCAGCACAGAAGCCTCACAGCAACTGGCATAGCAGGTACGCCTTTAACCCACTGCACCAAACTCAGACCCTTAAAAGAGATGGTAATTTTGCGGTATTTAAACCCCCCAAAGATCACCACCTCCCAAGGGCAACTAGAGCTAGTGAGAGGTCACTCACATTCTTTCATAAAGTCCCTGTTAATATGGGAGAACACTGTGTCTCTGCTTAATGCACTAACTTGCCTAAAACACGCAAGTGAAGTTTTACAAATAAATAAAAAAATCTAACAGATAGAACTCCCAAAAACTTTGTTTTAATATATTCATATTATATAAAATGTTGTTGATAATAATTTCGTTTTTATAATTTGATATATTTTAAGAGGTTACTTCTTGTAATAAAAACTTGCTTTTCGATTTAATTTATTTCGGCTCGTTATTTATTCATCTTTACTTCAATTTTTTTTAAATATTACCTTTTTATGTTTGTTTTGCTCATCTCGGCTTCCATTTTCCATTTACGTCCCTTCGTTCTCTTCCTTACATGGTAATTGATGGTGTCTCGAATGTGGTGATTATGGTTACTCTGTGATTTGTCTAGTGTTGTGATGTTCAGTTTTTTAGTCTGTCCTTTTTTGTATAACCTTTTCATTTCTTGAAGACTTCTAGTGGAGTAACAAACTTTATTCTTTTTTTGTGTGTGTTAATGTATGAGATCTGTATACTGTCGCTGCTATGTGTGTTCATTACCTAAGTGTAGTTACAGGATGAGAGCTACGCTCGTGGTGTCCGATCTTCAAAGTACTGTCATATAACGCTTTGAAACTTCTGACGGTTTTGGCCTCTGCAACTTTCACACTTAACTTATTCCAACCGTCTACCTCTCTGTTTGCAAAATATAACTTTCTAATATTTTTGGCCCCTTTGTTTCCTTAGCTTTAATCTGTCACCTCTTGTTCTTGAAGTTGCTGGTTTCAGGAATTCCTCTTTGTCAATTTGGTGTGTGTGTGAATGAAAGTTCAATTGCATTCATATATTTAGCACTAGATGGAGTATCGGGCAATGACAGAGTCTCTCCCTCCTCGCCAAATCTTCAGCCTCTTCCGTCTGTCCCTTTCTTCCCCATCCCTCCTTTGCCTCCTCCCATTCTCCCTCTCTACTCTCCTTTACCCATTCCCTTCTTCTTTTTCCTTGTCTTTCATATCTTCCCTTAATGCCTCCCGGCTCTCTTACCCAAAGCCTCCCTCATCTCATATTTACCCTATCTTCCCCCCTAACCACTTATCTCCCTCTTTACTCTCTTCTTCCTTATCCCTCTTATCCCTGTCAACTGTCTCCTACCTATTCCCCCTTTCTTCCTTTTCCCATTTTACCCCTTCCCCACCTCATGTCTCTCTCTCTCTCTCTGGGAACATGGAATAAATTCACCCAGTACAAAATATAAGCACATCGTTTTGTTTATTTTGATACAACCTTGTCACAACGTTGTGGTTATGTTGGAGAACTATGTAGAAACCCAAAACCCCTATTTGACTCCATACGAGTCACTGGGAGTTGCAGGGAATCGATCATATTAAAGGGGGATCTTGGGGCCAACCTCTACCACCCCATGATAGTCGTGCACCTACCATCAATGAGTATTCAGAAGAGATGGCTGAGGTTAGCACCAGACATCTGCCGTGGAACATCACACACACATTCTCTTTTAGAGATATATTATATCAAATGATTTTAAGGAAGGAGGGAGTTGGGCTGGAGCCTGGCCGTGTGGGTGGAGAACTCTCGTCTACAAACTGGTGTGTGTTGTTCCAGCAGCTGGTGGACCTGGGCGGCGGCGTCCTCGGCCAGGGCAGTTACCCCGGGTGTCCTGCTGCAGACTGCCTCTCCAGTGGCCTCTACTGTGGCCTCCACGGCAGGTCAGTCCTCTATGTGTACATATCAAAGAGAGAGAGGGAGGAAATGGTAAACTATAATATATGCTAGCATCTATAAACTTTTCCTTGTCTCCCTGCTCCTCTATTTATTTTTAAACTAGGACTAGGGTTCATAACGGCTGTAAAATGACTTACCCAGTAAAACTGCAAGCAAAAGCCTGCTCCTAGAGACTCATTTATTTAATGAGTGTACTCTGAACAAGGATAAGGGTCTCTCTCTCTCTCTCTCTCTCTCTCTCTCTCTCTCTCTCTCTCTCTCTCTCTCTCTCTCTCTCTCTCTCTCTCTCTCTCTCTCTCTCTCTCTCTCTCTCTCTCTCTCTCTCTCTCTATCTATCTATCTATCTATCTATCTATCTATCTATCTCTCCTACGTAAACAATTATTACAAATAAATTTCATTATATTAATAGTAATGACAAAATAATGATAATAACAATAATAGTGCGAAAATTATTTGAAGCAAAGCGGGATTTACCCACCGACCTAGTAGACACCAGCCGTGCGCCATACCCCTATGCCAAGACGTGCTAAAAGCTATTCAGCCTGGGACCCTACTGAGTCCATCAGGAATTCTGGAGACACCGATCTGGTGCCCAAGCAGTTCTCATGAATAGTCCGCATGAGCTCTGGCGTGGGGTAAAGGCTTACTGAGCTAACACTACATGCAATTTTGCACACTAGTCGCTACTATTTATATACCTGCCAATGAGGTCTCGTTATTTGTTTACCTGCCCATGGGGTCCCGTTATTTGTTTACTTGCCAATGTGTCCTTGCTCTCATGCTCCTGCCCTTGAGTCCTTCCTATTTGTATACCTGCCCATGATGCTTTGGGCTCTTTGTGACGCGGCCAGTGGGTATGCTGGGCTATTTTTTTACTAATCGTGTTATTCATTTATTGCACCAGAAAAATCGCAAGACACTGAGATACGCTTTAACTACAGTATGATGTGTGTCCGTGTGAGAACTGTATGCCTGGTACCGGGAGTTAGAGAGCTGATGTCTCAGCGAGCTATTGAACTGGGAGAAAGGTGAATTGAATTGTACTAAATGAACGGTAATTGCTTATATCTCGAGTGTTAATCGAGTGTTAATGGTAATCAAATCGAATATAAAATGGTAATCAATTAGAATTATGATGGTGAAAAAAATCGTACAATTTAACGAGACTCTATGGTCATTCACCGCCAGATTTAACGGACATCTGAAAATCATCAATGCAGTTAAAAATCTTCTATTTGCTTGAAGTGGGCTAGAGAGAGTAATCCATATACAAGAGAAGTTACATGAAATTTCGAACAATGTGGATTTGTTCTGGAAATGATAGTGAATAGACTGGGTCTTTGTGTCGAAAATAAAAAATTTTATGAGTGAATTATCAAAAGGGGAAAGTTCTTAATATACCAGCTGGATATATACATATATATATATATATATATATATATATATATATATATATATATATATATATATATATATATATTATATATATATGTGTATATATATATATATATATATATATATATATATTTATATATATTTATTGATATATATATTTATAAAAATATATATATATATATATATATATATATATATATATATATATATATATATTTATAAATATATATATGTCGTACCTAGTAGCCAGAACGCACTTCTCAGTCTACTATGCAAGGCCCGATTTGCCTAATTAGCCAAGTTTTCCTGAATTAATATATTTTCTCAATTTTTTTCTTATGAACTGATAAAGTTACCCATTTCATGATGTATGAGGTCAATTTTTTTTATTGGAGTTAAAATTAACGTAGATATATGACTGAACCTAACCAACCCTACCTAACCTAACCTAACCTATCTTTATAGGTTAGATTAGGTTAGGTAGTCGAAAAAACATTAATTCATGAAAACTTGGCTTATTAGGCAAATCGGGCCTTGCATAGTAGGCTGAGAAGTGCGTTCTGGCTACTAGGTACGACATATATATATTTATAAATATATATATCAATAAATATATATAAATATATATATTATATATATATATTATATATATATATATATATATATATATATATTTATATATATATATATTATTAAATATGACCGAAAAAGTAAGATTAATAATTCTAACACGAATTTTCTCGATCTTTCTTACGTTTCTTTTCACTGTTGATGGTAATTCAAAAATCAATTTTCCAAAATTCATTTTTATTTCTAGTCTGACGCGACACTTGAGCGCGTTTCGTAAAACTTATTACATTTTCAAAGACTTTAGTTTACACACACACTCACAACTTTAACTGAATAGAGCTTAAACATCTTCGAGTTTTTTATACCTACATTTGGGTGAAGTGACATGTTACAATAGTTTTGGATGAGGTGAAAATAAACTTTTAACACAAGACAGAATACGAAACAATGTAATACAAACAGGTATTAAAGGTAGGTAACTGCAGTAGCCTATTTTTATTGGCCCATATTTCTTGATGCTTCTATATTGGAGCGGAGTCTTGAAGTGGGTAGAATATAGTTGTGCATTAATTGGCTGTTGATTGCTGGTGTTGACTTCTTGATGTGTAGTGCCTCGCAGACGTCAAGCCGCCTGCTATCGCTGTATCTATCGATGATTTCTGTGTTGTTTGCTAAGATTTCTCTGGTGATGGTTTGGTTGTGGGAAGAGACTATATGTTCCTTAATGGAGCCCTGTTGCTTATGCATCGTTAAATGCCTGGAAAGAGATGTTGTTGTCTTGCCTATATACTGAGTTTTTTTGGCTTACAGTCCCCAAGAGGGAATTTGAAGGTATAGACGACGTTGGTCTCTTTTAAGGCGTTCTGCTTTGTGTCTGGAGAGTTTCTCACGAGTAGGCTGGTCGTTTTTTTGGTTTTATAGTAAATTGTCAGTTGTATCTTCTAATTTTTGTCTGTTGGGATAACGTTTCTACTAACAATATCTTTCAGGACCCTTTCCTCCGTTTTATGGGCTGTGGAAAAGAAGTTCCTGTAAAATAGTCTAATAGGGGGTATAGGTGTTGTGTGGTTGTGGGTTGGTTGAGTTAGTTGTCTCTTCAAGAAGAGACAACTAACACAACACCTATACCCCCTATTAGACTATTTTGTGTTAAAAGTTTATTTTTACCTCATCCAAAATTATTGTTACATGTCACTTCACCCAAATGTAGGTATAACAAACTCGAAGATGTTTAAGCTCTATTCAGTTAAAGTTGTGAGTGTGTGTGTAAACTAAAGTCTTTGAAAATGTAATAAGTTTTACGAAACGCTCTCAAGTGTCGCGTCAGACTAGAAATAAAAATGAATTTGGAGAATTGATTTTTGAATTACCATCAACAGTGAAAAGAAACGTAAGAAAGATCGAGAAAATTTGTGTTAGAATTATTAATCTTACGTTTTTGGTCATATTTAATAATATATGTCTACAGGAAAGACTGCTACCAAAATATACTAATATATATATATATATATATATATATATATATATATATATATATATATATATATATATATATATATATATATATATACATATATATATATATATATCTTCGTGACTTAAGATTTATATATATATATATATATATATATATATATATATATATATATATATATATATATATATATATATATATATTGTGACGGTAAAGCGTTGGTGTTCGGCTGTTTCAAAAGCTGGGGGCAGGCCTCGTCACATCACAAAAAAAAGGAGAAAAGTTTGTCCTTTCATCTGTGGTAAGGTAATGGGAAGACACACAAAACACAAGTAGATAAACAATGAAATTTTAATTACTCCAGAAAACAAGACATGAATAAAGGCAATCTCATAAAATTAGCACTGGTCAACAAACAAAATAGCATGAATAATTACTGGCAATGAAAAGTTACTCTAAGACCAGAATGCAAAAATAGTGATAGCAAGATCAATTAAATATGAGGCGCTGGAATACTGGCTTCAAGCTGCCACCTCCCTTAGTACACGAAAGCCAAGGCTTAGTCTACCAGCGAGAGATGTTAACTCCAAGGAGCACAAAGATATTCTGACGAGTATGGTGTGCTGCTGCCCAGACGTCGACTCTCGGTGGTGATGGTGAGTGCAGGTGCGGCGAGAAACCAGCCAATCAGCAACAGGCAGGCGGAGGATAAGCAGTTTCCTGGTTACGGCGGCTGTAGCAGGTGTCAGGGTGTGCATGGTACGATTTGCTTCCTGGGCAAAACGTTTGGCGATACTGGTGGACGTATCTTTCTATATAGTATCTTGTACTTGTACGACGTAATGATGTAGGGAAGAGCAGGCTCAATCTCTCTTGAAAGAGATTATCGTCACAATATATATATATATATATAGCTTCGTGACCTAAGATTTATATATATATATAACTATATATATATATATATGTCGTACCTAGTAGCCAGAACTCACTTCTCAGCCTACTATGCAAGGCCCGATTTGCCTAATAAGCCAAGTTTTCATGAATTAATGTTTTTTCGTCTACCTAACCTACCTAACCTAACCAACCTAGCTTTTTTTGGCTACCTAACCTAACCTTACCTATAAATATAGGTTAGGTTAGGTTAGGTAGGGTTGGTTAGGTTCGGTCATATATCTACGTTAATTTTAACTCCAATAAAAAAAAATTGACCTCATACATAGTGAAAAGGGTAGCTTTATCATTTCATAAGAAAAAAATTATAGTAAATATATTAATTCATGAAAACTTGGCTTATTAGGCAAATCGGGCCTTGAATAGTAGGCTGAGAAGTGAGTTCTGGCTACTAGGTACGACATATATATATATATATATATATATATATATATATATATTATATTAAATATATATATATATATATATATATATATATATACATATATATATATATATATATATATATATATATATATATATATATATATATATATATATATATATATATATATATGTCGTACCTAGTAGCCAGAACGCACTTCACAGCCT